AAGATATCCGGGATGCAGTGCAACAGTTACATCTGAAACTGGCCTCTCAGTTGATTCTGAGGCGTATAGCCCCAAGATCCTCATTTTAAGAACCACTGCTCCAGAAGGTATTAAGGGCAGCAAATGTTGTATTGTCTAAACTTGGTTATAAATGCTAAGAACTTAGCTCAGGACTCAGAATGGCACAGATTAAATCGTAAGAGGATAGGTCTAATTTGGCTTTGGGGGCAAATAAAAAATCAAGTTCTTTTACTTTTAAAGTTAAATTTTTAAAAAAACTCAAATTTTCAAAATTTCATTTCTAAAGAAAAAATTCTTCCTAAGTGTCAACTTTAGACAGTAACTTTGGCAGGCTACAGGGTATTAAAACTGAGTAATTCTCAGTCCCCAACTTAAAGAGGCTTACATTCAGACAAATATAATAATATTTGATGATAATATAATATTGAACGTACACACAAGTTACAATATGATACTAAACGTACATGAGTTACAATATGAGGAGTGTTGTAGGAGGAGAAAAATGCTGTCTGTGTTTAAAGGAGAAAGAAATCATTACAGAATGAGATAATCTAAGCAAAAAGGCTCACAATAATTCCAAGTAAATCACATTTTTAATAGTATTTTAATGTTATTAATATGTAAAATACTACACATTTTCAAACATGATATAAATATTTTAGCTACTATCTCCTGATAGCTGCTGTTGACAGATATAGAATTAGAGTTCTAACAAATGCCTAAACTCCAGAACACGCCACTTCCCTCTTCTATGACGTTTCCTACAATAGTAGATACAAGAGGGAAACATCTGGACTCCGCACCAGTCGCGTGGCCACATGTTTTTGTCTTTCTACACAGCAACAAAGATTTTGGAAATCTACTCTTAAATGCTCCAGAGCTCATTTCCAGCAATAAAAGTGATAAAAAATAAAAGGAAAAAAATTAACATTAAAAAGGAACTTTTTAAATCTAGTTTTCCTAGCCAAGATATGATTGAAAAGTAGTCTCCTAGGATTGTGTCATTGCAGGGAATAAGAAGCCATCGTGTGTGACTCTGTCAACTTCCTGCACAGAACTTCTCTACTTACCAGCTAGATGAATGAGCTCCTGCAAACAGACAACAGTTACTACTCAGAAACACTCTGAATGCGCAGAAGGGCATCCATGTAAGTTAGCTCTGGATGCTCATGGTATGTGTCCTTCTGGTGATAGCACTCGCCACATATGCTTGGCAAAATCTCATACACAACCTTTCCATCTTGACCTCTTCCCACGCCAACAGTTTTCAGTAAATCAAATAGCTTCAAGTAACTCTGCAAATAAAGTACTAAAAAGTACCCATCTGTACCCACTTCTAGGTGATATGCAAAGCAGGGAAAAATTATTTTTATTATCATGTGGAAGAAATTGTTACTCACCAGGCAGGACTGGCTAAGAGGGCAGATATAATAGTAACAGACTTGCAACAGAGGGAATTTGGGTCATACACATAGAATCCCACTATCATGCAAGTCCCAGCAGTATTCAGTATATTTTTTTAAGTTTTACGTTTTTTTTTAAGTTGTATCAGAACTGTGGGGACATTTGCAAAGTGAATTTAAGATTTAGATATTTGTGAACATGAAATAACTACAAAGACATCACAAAGGAAGATGGCCCAGAAGGATAGGTGGGATTCTGACAGGCAAAGATGAGAGAAGCACACTGCAGGAGACAGCAGAAGCGCAGAGGCATCTGGAAGGAGCAGGCCGAATGCCTGTGACTGGAACAGGGGCACTTACTGTGGCGCACTGAGAGCCACAGGAAGGCAGACGGGGCAGGCCACAGGGGACTGAATGTCCTGTCTTCGAGAGAAGTTAGGGCTTGCTCAGAAAATTAGGAGAAGCCACTGCCGATCTGTGACTGGGGGGGAAGTCACTGTGACAGGCCAGCACTACTTAGGAAGAATGTTCTTCTGCGATTGTTCAGAACAACCTCATCAAAATGACCTTCCCGTTCTCGCCTTAAGCCCCATGCCAGAGAGGTTTTATATTTTAAAAAAAACACACACAACACAAATTTGATTCCAGAAAGTCTGCAGTATAATGTAAAGGTTTACTGAAATCTCTTGAAAAGGCAGAGGGGCCATAATATACATCAAAACTTTCTAAAAGTCTCCCTTATACTTCTATCTCCCCACATTTCACACCAACTCCTTTTCTGTCCCAAATTCCTCCAAACCTCTCCTGTGCTCCCACCACTGCCCATTTCTCAGTTGTGTGATCTTGTCTTTACTTCAGTGGCAAGTGCTCCAATGCTCCCTTTCTTTGGGCAGAGTTTGGGGTAGGATTCTTTGCTCCATCCTGCTGATGTGATGATTAGAGACAAGGGAGGAGAGGAGTAACAGCCATGAAAACACACACCTTCTAATTCTTATCCCATTAAGGCAGACTCTGGCAGGGGGCACTAATGGAGCTGTGGAGACAGTCTAGAAGGTCAATGTCACACTGTCATGAGGGCTTGAACTGGGGTGATGGGAAGGACAGAAAAAAGGAAGAATCAGATTCTAGAACATTTGAGGCAGGATTTCTTAACTAAACTGAGCTCCTGGAGAACCAGAGCCAACAATATCGGTTAACTTCATATTCCCAGGCCATCAGAGGGACCTCAAATGTGTGTTGAATGGCTAGATGAATAAATGCATGAACAATGGGCAGGCTGTGGGGGGAGGGAAAGCCGAAGACAGTGAATCCCAAGTGCACCTGGGAACCTAACCCTCTCATTTCCTTCCACGCCACCCCCAACCCTAACGGTATCCTCCTGCTCACCGTCGGGACACAGGCTTTCACCCTTTCTGCTCCCTGTGCCTGGAACGGTCCCCTACCTGGAGCCTCACATCCATATTTAGGGAGGCTGCCTAACCTGTAGAAAAGGGAGAGCACACAACTACACGTGCAGCAAGGAGTTCAGAGCCCGGAGCGTGCACCTCAGGTCTGGGTGACGGTGCTTACTATGCTGCAGAATTAAAGGGGCAGGACTCCAGACACATCTGGAGGGGACGAGAGTCCTGGGCCTCCAGAACCTGGGAGATGTTTCCTTCTGAATGAGCTATGACCCCCATCGCCACCTGAGAGTGTCCTGTGAGAACATCCAGATAGGTTGTCCTCTATTCTCATGTCCTTGTTGGTCCCTGATCCACACCCAGGTGTTCCATTCACAGACTCAGATATAGATGTAATGAGCCACCCTTTCTCCTCATGTTAATAAAGTACAGTAATCAAAAGAGGAGACCATCATAAACAGCTACAGAAACAATGGACTTGGAGGGTGACCCACAGATCACTTTCTCTCAGGCTGTATTGTTTTTTAAAACTTCAGACGGGGGCTACTTTTATTTTAACTTTTAATAAAATATTCTGTTTTCTCCTTTGTAACTCACTTCAGTAAGTCTTCACTGTATTTTAACCAAAGAGAAAAGATCTGTTAAAAACTTAAATGAAACAGATCTGAATTAATGTGTTACCATAAATGTTTCTGCAGTTTGAGAGTTTCTCCCACTCTTTTACTTTCCAAAGTGACACTGCATTCTCTGAGATAAATATTTGGGCTAACGATAATTTCAAGTCCAAGTGTGGCATCATCACTGCATCACTGAAGGGTGTGGCATCATCACTGCATCACTGCTGTGGTCTCCACCCTGCTCCACCTCCCTCCCTGAAAGCCCTGCGCTGGCGGGTCACCCTGGAAAGCTCTGCCCAGGTCCTGGACACAGGAACAACCCACCTCAACTTTGAGGCCCTCCCCATCACCCCTTCGCTCCTGTCGCTGCCCGCCTCTTTAGGTTTACCTGTGCGCCAGCCTTCCCCTCCCTCCACACCCAGAATGCAAACTCAGAGAGCACAGACACCTGGCTGCCTGCTCCTCCCGGCGACCTCAGCCCTCTGCATGAGGACTGGCATGCAACAGCTCCTCAGTGAAGATTTGTGGAGTGAATCAGTATATACTTATATCATAACTATTATGAAAGAAAAATGACATTAAATAATCCCTCTTTGCTTTCTTACAAGTGAAGCGTGATGCAAAGGCGTTATGAGGTGACAGCTGCTGGGCTTCCCCAGGCAGGGAGCTGGGACCTCCCTCTCAGCAAGCCAGGTAGCCCTGAGGAGGGGCCCTTCTGCTCCCAGCCTAGCAGGCAGCTCCACCTTGCCCTATAGTTTCACAGGCTCTAAACAGAAATACTTTTGAGTAGCTTCTCCCTTCTCTCCTCTCTACCTTCCTTCCTGCCCTGGCGCCCTGCGCCCGCTGTGACCTCCTTGTGCCCTGGGCTTTTCCGGTTTCCCCTCATTTACTGCACTTCTCTAGCTTGGGGTGTCTCATGACCCACTATTCTGGCTATTTTTTCTCCCTCCTCATTTCTCCTCTCAGCCCTCCTTGGGCATCTAAGCAGCCAGGAAGCTGAGCGCCCGGAGCTGCTTTGCGAGCTGCAGGCAGCGTCCGGGGCCTGCTAACCTGGCCTAGGAAAGGTCAGCGAGAAGCCACCGCGGCATGCTGAAATTCTTGGTGAAATTCGCGCGTTCCTCCACCAGTCCCTGTGGCCAGCTTGGAGCGGAAAGAAAGGAGCATCCCGAGTACGTTCAGGTGTGACGGCAACGATCGCATTTAATTCCCAAAACCTAGGAAGACCCAGAACGAAGCGCTGACAGGTACTTCGTCAGCTGGGACTGAAACCCAGGTCTTCTGGCTGCCCTATCAGCCTACGTAAAAGGCCTCTCACACCCGGGAAGGGCCATATCAAGCTGGTTCCTTTGCGAGACGGGGTTTGTTGTTACCTAAGTCTCCACAACGGTCAATCTGATCAACTCAGTACCTCCTTCCCTGAGAGCCGGTTATCTGCAGAGAGGGTCTCCTCTGCTGTGTTTAGTTCAGGCTTCCCAAAGCGAGTGCCTTTCCCGGCTCCAAGAGGAATCCCCTAAGACCCAAGCTCAGCGCGAAGGACCGGCCGGGAGGGGACTTCTTACCTGCGCTCCGGGAGGCGCTGGACGCCGGGCCGGCCCCAGCCGCGGGGAGGAAAAGCTTGGGTTCCTCGTTGGCGACGCGGGCTCCCCTGCGACCCCGGGGCCTCCCCTGGGTCTCCTGCGGGGACAAGGCCAGCGCGAGCAGGAGCAGCGCGGGCAGCGGGGCGCCTGGCTTGGCCGGCCGCATGTCCGCGCGCCCGAGGACAGGGCAGGGGGCTCCGGGCGGGCGGCCGCCGGGGCCGGGAGTGGAGGTGCGCCCAGGAGAGGGGCGGCGGGGCTGGGCGCGCGCTACCGGCCGCCGGGGTCCTCGCCGTGTCCCCTTGGGGTTCGGGCGGGAGCGGCACTGGGACTTGGCCCGCGCAGGCCGATCTCTGCTCTCTCGGGGTCGCGGGGCGGGGACGCGAGGCGGGGCGGCAGGTGGGGACCGCGGGGGTGGCCCCGGGGACAAGGCGAGTCCCAGCGCCCGAGACCCTCCGGAGTCCGCGCTGCCTCCCCCGACGGACCGGAGCCCGGGCTCAGCCTGGTCCTCGGGGCTCCCTCGGAACGCCGCCCCGGCCCCCCGGCTCGCGTCCCCCGCTCCGTCCCTGGGAGGGCCGGGTGAGGACCCGCCGCGGCGCCGCCGGTTCTCTCGGGGCTCTGTCTCCCGCGCCCGCCCCGTCTACGCGGTCAACAGAACCCGCAGCTCTGGGCCCGGACGAGGAAAGCAGCGCCGGGACTCGGCCTGAGGGGCGGAGACCGCGATTCTGCAGGCCGAAAGGCGCGGAGTCCACTTTCTCCCGCCCAGAGCCCTCCCGCCCTGAGCGGTCCCTCCCGCCGCCCCCGCCGCGCTCCCGGGGCCCAACCTGCCCGGCGGGGGCTCCGCCCGGCGCGGGGCCGCCTCCCCCGGGGCGGGGGCGGAGCGGGGACCCGGGTCTGCGCTCTGCACCGCCCACCGCGGACGCCCAGCTCCTCGGGCCCCGATTGGAGGCCCCCCGGAGTCACCGGTGTGGTGTCCCCACAGGGGAAATCACCACGGTCCACCAGCACGCCAAAGACCGCAGACGGCTAGGTTTTTTAAGATAAAGAACTCTGCAGATGTTTTGTCTATGCTAACGATAGGAAAATGAGAAGTCCACTTGTCCATTGCTCGCTAATCAATTGATTGCGAATTATCTTTTCAGATGCAAAGCGGCAAATAGGTGAAAGAGAGAGGGAAGGAATAACCGCTTTAGGCATTGCCCTAAATTACCCTACAAAGAGATCTTGTCAGTCACAAACCCTGAAAAACAATCCCAACTCGGTCAAATAGTTTTTCTAGATTTGGTATTTCCAACATGTCCGGGAAATTGGGGAAACATAGCAGGCTTTACAAGAGCCCTATAAACATCACGCTTATGAATGAAACTCGGGGAAGTCGTCATACAGGCGAGACTGCGGCTTCGAATCACTCAAGGAAGCATAAGAAACAAGTATTTCCAAAGCACACTCAATGTCATGTGAGAATGGCTTCCATCGTAGGAGATGCAGAAAAGCCATCTCAGAAAAAATACATTTTAATGTATTTTAAGACTCTTTTAAGAGTCTCAGAAGGCCCTAGTTAGGTGGAGTAAGTTCCTTCTCACAGCTCTATTCAAGTGAAATAAGAACACATTAGGAGTCCACGGACATTGGCAAGTATTTCAAAAATTAATTTTAATTAGAAACATAATGAGTTAGGGACGCCTATGATAAACTATGGGAAAAACACAGTGTGAAATATTGCTGGTAGAAGAAGTGACACAGAAATGACAATGAGAAATGGACTCCAAATCAACTATAAGGAAAAAAAATAACCCTGGAAGCTGGGTTGTCTCCCTACTTCCTCCATATTGAAACTAGAGGGAGTGAAGGATCTGAAGAGGTTTTCAGAGCCTGACACTTGGAGCTCTGCTCTCTGTTCAGTCATTAGGTATGTGACCTTGAGCATGCTAGTGAGCTTCAATTTTCTCGCTGACAAAGTGAAGAGACTGACTTTTAGTAGTTCTCAGACTGCAATGTAACGTGTCTGTGAAGAATGCAAATTCTGATATTCCCAGGGATTTCAGCCCCACATGGGAAATGCCCAATGAATCTGCATTTTAAAGGACTCAGGTAGTTCTGAAGCAAGTGGTCCTTGAAACCCACTTTTATTCATTCAACAAAAATTATCTGAATGCAAACTGTAGGCCAGGCACAGTAGAAAACACTGGAGCTACAACTGTGAGTAAAATAGACAAGATCCTCATCTTTGTGAAGCATCTAGCGTCAAGGATGTAGCTCCCCAACATAATGGTTTTACCATAAACAAACAGGTTGCTTATAATTAATTTACTCTTTGCTTTTTTTCTTTGTTTTGTTCATTGTTTATCCTTGACTCCTCGTCTTACTGGCCCAACTTAATGCTCCTTGCTCTACCTCTTGCTAACTAATTCAGAGGCAACTTTAAGTGTTCATGGAGATACAATCTCAGTAACATATGCTAACTTATTTTTTTAACAGACTTATTTTTAGAGCAGTTTTAGATTCATAGCCAAATTGAGAGGAAGATACAGAGATTTCCCATATACCCCCTGCCCGCCCATACACACTCATAGCCTCCTCCATTATCAACATCCCCAACCAGAGTGGGACATTTGTTACAACTGATGAACCTACATTGATATGTCATTATCACCCAGAGCGCACAGTTTACGTTAGGGTTCACTCTTAATGTTGTATATTCTATGGGTTGGACAAATGCATCTACCATTATAGTATTACATGGAGTAGTTTCACTGCCCTAAAAATCCTCTGTGATCCACCTATTTATCCCTCCCACTCCCCTGTCCAACCCCTAGCAACTACTGATCTTTTTGCTGTCTCAATCATTTTGCCTTTTCCAGAATGTCATTTAGTTGGAATTGTCAACACTAATAATCAATAACCAATCTATAGATAAGAAAGATAGAGTGATATTTATTGAGCCTAATGTAAGGACTAGCCCAGAAGTGCTCTCTTCCACAGAGAAGAAAGCACTCCAGAGAAGTGTGGTTTACAGCATGGTTACATACCCTTTCAGAACAAAGAACATATATCAACATTTGACATTACACAGCAGGTCGACTTGACCATGATTCTCTGGGATGAAAAGCTTATCTTCAAAGAAGTACTGGTATCAGCATCAGAGGGAGGAGACACTACATTCCTATCTTTAAAGAGTGCATTCTTTGCTTTGGGAAAATGTTTGAAGCAGATGTACAATGCCTGTTTGGTGGGCCATAAGTCAGGCTGCTGTGGGAAAAACAAGTTTTAGGCCGAATCAGATTTAAACCAGAATGGCTTCCCCATATACCTTGATGTGTGAAAACTTAATATTATTCTTATTATTTTCATCAGAATCATACAGTAAGTTTTTCAGATTGGCTTCTTTCCTTAGTAATACACATTTCAGTTTTCTCCAGATCTTATTATGGTTTGATAATTTCTTTTCTTTTTAGCACTGAATAATATTCCACTGTCTGGATATACCACAGTTTATTTATCCATTCACCTACAGAAGGACATCTTGGTTGCTTCCAAGTTTTCGCAATTATGAATAAAGCTGCTGTAAGCATCTGTGTCCAGGTTTTTGTGTGGACATGAGTTTTCAGTTCCTTTGAGTAAATACTAAGGAGAGCAATTGCTGCATTGTATGATAAGAGTGTGTAGTTTTGTAAGAAACCACCAAGTTGTCTTTCAAAGTGGCTGTACAATTTTGTATTCCCGCCAGCAATGAATGAGAGTTCCTGCTCTGCACATCCTTGTCAGCATTTTGTGTTGCTAACTTGTTTTTAATGTATAAAGGAGGGATAGCTGTGTGGAAAAAGGTACTTAAGACAGTCACTAGTGTTTTAAATAACTCAATATTTAACAGTGCATGTACTAAAAACAAGTTTTTAAGCCTTGAAACTGAAATCTTCATTTCTTTATAAAATGGCTAATAAACTGAACATATTAAGATCCCCTAAATATTTAACACCAACAAACCCTATTCAACATTTTAAATTACAACCACAAATTTAATATATTTGATTCTTTCAAACATTTTCTTTTGAGGGGAGTGAGAACATTTCAGTTCAACTCTCTTACCAAATTTCAATTATATAGTAGTGTTATCACCTATAGTTACCATGTTATACATTAGATCCCCAGACCTTATTATCTTATAGCTGAAAGTCCATACCCTTTTACCAACCTCTCCTTATTTCCCCCATCCCCAGCCCCTGAAAACCACTTTCTACTCTGTTTCTGTGAGTTTGACTTTTTTAAAATTCCACATATAAGTGATATCATACAGTATTTGTCTTTGTGTGGCTTATTTCACGTATATATATATTTATATATGTGAAATATATATATATATATCATGTCTTCTTTATTCATCTGTTGATGAACACTTAGGATGTTTTCATATCTTGGCTATTGTGAATAATGCTGCAATGAACATGGGAGTGCAGATATCTCTTCAATATCCTGTTTTCATTTTCTTCAAATATACAGTCATGCCCCACATAATGATGTTTTGGTCAACGATGGACCACATATACAACTGTGGTCTCATAAGATTAGTACCATATAGCCTAGGTGTGTGGTAGGCTATACCATCTAAGATTGTGTAAGTACGCTCTATGATGTTGCACAACGATGAAATTGCCTAACGATGCATTTCTCAGAAAGTATCCCCATCATTAAGTGATGCATAACTGTACTCCTGGAAGTGAGATTGCTGGATCATGTGGATCATATGGTAGTCCTGTTTTCCATAGTGGCTGCACCAATTTACATTCGCACCAACAGTGCACAGGGGTTCCCTTTTCTCCACATCCTTGCTGACACTTGTTCTCTCTTGTCTTTTTTATAATAGCCATGCTAACAGATGTGAGGTGATATCTCAGTGTAGTTGTGCTTTGCATTTCCCTAATGATTAGTGATGTTGAGCACCTTTTCATGTCCATTTGGCCATTTGTATGTCTTCTTTGTAAAAATGTCTATTCAGTTCCTTTGCCCATATTTCAATAGGGTTGTTTGGTTTTTTGCTATTGAGTTGTGTGAGTTCTTTATATATTTTGGATATTAACCTCTTATCAGATATATGATTTGCAAATATTTTCTCCAATTCAGTAGGTTGCCTTTTCATTTTGTTGATGGTTTCCTTTGCTGTGCAGAAGCTTT